CACTGAAAACTTAATGGGCCAAAAGCCCATTTTGAGCTGGGCTGATGTGATCACCCATCTATGAGGCGGATCTGAGATTAATGTTAGCAAAAGGATAGGGCCTTTTAACCTTATCCACTCTGGGAGACCAAATTCAAATTAGATTTGAATCTGGTAACCTCCTGATAAGAACATGAGTAAGCTAACTTAATCTGCAAATAGGATTAAGATAATCCCCTATCCAAATACTGATTTGGATTGGGATAACTCCTAATTAGGAGGTTTCTTAATCAAGAAGAAAAGAGGAGAAACCCTAAGAGGGAAAAATATCAGATTTCGAACCAAGGGTTTTACAGAAAGCAAGAAAGCTTCCTACGATAAGAGATTAGATCTCATTCGTATTTCAGAGAGAAGAGAAGAAATTCTTCTGTCTTCGTCCTTGGAGTTCTCCTCCAGCCGCCGCCGCCATTGCTTCTCACAAGATTCGATCTTTGTAGAAGAAAGAAGTCAAGAAACCAGTTTTTGACATCAGTCTTGCAGAAAAGACTGAAGAAGATTCGGTGTTCAGAGTTTCCAGAGGATTCTTGCGAAGGATCCAGTGTGTAGGACGCACTCTGCTGGTTCCGTTCCACCCACAATTGTGTCATCTTCAGCAGGAGCGGATCTTGGTTTCTTCTTTGGGCGTGAACACCAACTTTGGGAGATACTGCTTCTCCGGATCAGGTATATTCTTCCCTTTTGCTTTTGGTTTAGATCTGGTTCGATTATGGTTCAAGTAAGATCCTTGAATATTGAATTCTAAATTTAGGGAATGTGATTCCCAGTTGGAAGAAGGTAGGAAAATTTTTGAAATTCGCCCACCCATTCCGCAACCTTCTTGGCGTCCATTAGATGGATCCTACCATTCTTTCAAGTTTGTTTCCATGGATGTCACATTCTTTGAGGAGACATCCTATTATCCTAGGGTTTCTCCTCAAGGGGAGAGCAGTGAGAGTGGGGATTTGGGTCTCTTTCCTCAGGGGGAGTGCAGTGGGAGTGGGGTTGTTCCTTTACCTATTCCATTGGGTGATGAAGGCTGTAATGGTGAGAGTGGTCAGAGGGATCAGGAGTTGAGAGTCTATCACAGGCGATGCAGGCAGGTTGATCCCGGTCATTGGCAGTCCAGGCCAGCTCCAGTTCCTTTTGCGACTTCGGTCCCTCCAGTGGATGACCTTGACTTCCCTATTGCCGTCCGTAAAGGGAAACGGCATTGCACCACATCTACAACTCACTGCATTTCCCAGTTTTTATCCTATGATCGCCTATCTCCCCCTTACCAGTCCTATCTCACTTCCATTGCCAATGTCCCTATTCCAAGAATAGTGCAAGAAGCCTTATTAGTTTCAAAGTGGAAAGATGCAATGCAAGTTGAAATGGATGCCCTGTTGAAAAATAATACTTGGGMGYTAGTTGACCTACCCAAAGGAAAGAAACCAGTTGGATGTAGATGGGTATTTACTGTGAAGCATAATGCTGATGGCTCCATTGAAAGGTACAAAGCCCGGCTGGATGCAAAGGGGTTCACCCAGACTTATGGTATAGATTACTTAGAGACCTTTGCCCCAGTAGCCAAGATGACCACCATCCGAGTTCTATTATCCCTTGTAGCAAGTCATTCTTGGCCCTTGTTTCAGATGGATGTTAAAAATGCTTTTTTGAATTGAGACTTACAGGAAGAGGTTTACAAGCAGTTGCCTTCTGGATTCTATGATACAGAGATAGGTAAGAAGGTTTGCCGACTGAATAAGGCATTGTATGGTTTGAAGCAGTCACCTAGAGCCTGGTTTGATAGATTCAGACTAGCCCTTGGAAAATTTGGTTATGTACAGGCCCAGTCAGATCATACATTGCTCATTAAAAGGGTGGACTCCTTTCTGACCCTGCTTGCTGTATATGTGGATGATATTGTAGTGACAGGAAATAATAGTAGTGAGATTGAGTCCCTCAAACAGCTCCTTCATCAAGAGTTTGAGGTGAAAGATCTTGGTGCACTACGGTACTTTTTGGGTATTGAGGTTGCTAGATTTAAACAAGGGATCTTTATCTCTCAGAGAAAATATGTTCTAGATCTGTTGGCGGAAACTGGAAAGTTAGGAGTTAAGCCTGTTGATACACTCATTGAACAGAATCACAAGATTAGTATAGAGGGCGGGGAGCCTCTTGAAGACAAAGTTATGTTCCAACGGTTGGTTGAAAAGCTCTTATATCTCTGCCTCACTCGGCCAGATATCAGTTATGCAGTTAGTGTTGTCAGCCAGTACATGCATTCCCCTAGAACTACTCATCTTCTTGCGGCATAGAGAATATTAGCGTACTTGAAGAGATGCCCGGGTAGAGGTATACTGTTCAAGAACAATAATCACATGAAGGTGGAGGTCTATATAGATGCCGAATGGGCTGGGAATGCTGATGACAGGAGGTCTACCTTTGGATATTGTGCCCTTGTGGGAGGTAGCCTTGTCTCTTGGAGGAGTAAGAAACAAAGTGTTGTTTCCCGCTCTAGTGCTGAAGCTGAATACAGGTCAATGGCTAACGGAGTGACTGAAATCCTATGGTTGAGATCACTACTTGAAGAGTTGGGTATTGATTATGAGAAGCCCTTGATGTTGTATTGTGATAGTCAGATGGCTATTAATATATCCCACAATCCAGTGCAACATGACAAAACTAAGCATATTGAAGTTGATCGACATTTTGTGCGAGAGAGGGTCTCATCACTAGAAGTGTGTCTCCCGTATATCTCATCCAACATGCAGCTCGCAGATATCCTCACCAAGGCTGTACCAAGGAAGAAGTTAGAGGCAGACCTATTCAAATTGGGAATGATAAATATCTATTCCCAACTTGAGGGGGAGTGTAGAGAACACTGATGTGGGCCCCACAGCTGTGGCCCCCACTGTGTTCATAGGACAGTATGTGTAATTATTTGTTTTAGTCATGTTAGTGTTAGTTGGTGGTTAGTTTGTTATTTCAGTTATTATTTATTTCAGTTTTTTATTTGCTTTATTTGTCATGTAAGTACTAAGGGCAGATCTGTCATTTTCCCCTATGTACTGAACATAACCTATAAATACTAAGAGAGTGGCGGCAGCAGGTCAATAAGAATCTGTCCCCTCTTTCAAACCTTTGTGTTCTCCAGTTCTTCTCCTCTCTTTTCTTCCTTTCTCTTCTACCTTTCCTAATCTGAAATTTATTAGGGTTCAAGGCTGATTGTAGTCTTGATCGCCTACTATTTCTAAGCTTCCAAACCACCCCTTCGCCTTTCCTTAACCACCCCACTACCAGTTTTGAGTCGCCTTCAAGAACCAATCTTTCTGCTCCCATGTCTCTAGCCATTTTTACCCAAATACTGCAGCAAAAATTTCTGCAGTTACAGCATCACCTTGTACAAGTAGACTGAAAACAACGCCCTTATAGTGCCACCCTCATCTCTAATCACTCCTCCAATTCCAGAGTCCAGATGGACTTGGATTACCCAGACTACTACCATCAAAGTTCAATTTCAACCACCTGGCCATTGGGGAGACCACATCTCAAGGGGTTTTTGTTTCCTAGAGGAGGAAATGGTTTTAGGAGCGGTCATAGGTGTTTATCTTACAAGACATCTTTTGGATTTTCTAAGAACATTTTGTTGTGGATTGCAAAGGAGATCCTAACATTATTGCAGATGATTTGTTTGGATGAGGGACAAGAAAGAAGATTGCATTACAAATTCTTCTTCCAATAGTGAACTTTGTACAGTCTCGTGGTTGTAACATCTTTGTGATGAGCTCCCAATTCACACTCTTTGGATTGATGCCCATATTGTAAATCATATATGTTTTTTATGTAAGATTATTAACATTCAAAAACTTTCCCTTAAAAATAAGATTTAATTGTTTCAATAGGGTAGAATTTTTTGATTTACTCTTTTTTCTGCAATATAGTGTCCTTTAGAGTAGCATGTTGGGTAAAAATCAAAGGAGGAACTGTTTGAAGCTGTAACAGTAAGAACAACACATGGGTAAAAACTTTGCTATCTCTTTTGAGAATTCTCAACAAGTGACATAATAAGATCCTGGACTGAAGTGGTACAAACAGTAAGACCTACAGAGAGTGTAAGAATGGTTTGGCAGCCTCCATCTTTTAATAAACTGAAGCTTAACATTGATGGTAGCTCATTGGGTAATCCAGGAAGGGCAGGAATAGGAGGTGGTTTTAGAAACTATGAAGGAGTGCTGGTGGCATTATTTTCGGGACCTATTGGCATTGGAGATTCAGTACAAGCTGAAGTGATGGTTCTCTTAGATGGATTAAGGCTTGCTGTACAATTTGGAGTAAGTGAATTGGAAGTGGAAGGAGATTCTCAGTTAGTCATTTCTTGGTCCAAGAATCTCAGATTAGCTCCACGGAAATATAGACATGCTTTTAGGGAGATCGACACCTTGGTAAAGAGATTCAATTCCACTTTTGGGTGGATAAGAAGGACTGCAAATGGAATGACAGATGTATTAGCAAAGTAAGGAGCTGATAGAGCTGGCTTGTTTTGGGAAAAATTGTAATCTGATTTATTTTGGGATGCTGGGAACTTATGAGCCTTTTTTGGGATTTCCTTGTAACTGTAACTTGAAAAGCTCTTGGGGATGATATCCCTGTCATCACATTGTACTGCTTCAGTTTTCTTTAATTCTAATGAAATAATTTCTTCTGCTGATAAAAAAAGATATAGTGTCCTTTAGAAGTGCAGTTTGATATAACTGTCATCATAAGCTTTTGGGATTGGGATAGTTAACCCATCACATTAAGACACTTCCTTTTCTCGAATCATTTTGTTGTGCATCTTAAAGGCCAAGAAGAGTAACTGTTGTCATAAAAAGTTCTGGTTAATATTGAAGTAAAATTTTGTTTCCACCAAATGGTGTTTACATTGTGAAAAATCTGAAAATTCTTTTTTCTAGTTGTCCTCTTCTCCACATGGTTTTTGACTCTACTGTTGGAATGTGATCTTTTTATAGGTAATATTGTATCTGAAAACGTGGAGGCAGCTCCATCAGCAACTAATTCTAAGAGTTCAAAGAAAAAGACAGTACCCACCATCATTTATGCCTCGTAAGTTCTGTTCTGTTCTGCACCAGCATTAGGAACAATTGCTTTTTTATCTGGGTAAAGTCTGAAAGGCAATATATTACTTTTACACTATTAAGGAGGGTTTATTTATTGGAAATTTAATTGGAATTGTTGGTGAAACTGAACTATAGTGGAACATATTTATACTTAATAAAGAAAATGAACTATGTATTTTAACATCATTAAGAAGGATTGTTTATTGGAAATTTAATGTAACTACACCATCTAAATGGACTTTTCCACATCTTGTCTGTAATTGGAGTAACTTTTGGAGCAAGTAGAAAGCTCTAAAGGAGCAAGGTGAAACTAAAAAGTGAATGGTTTTAAGTGGTAAAATTGTAAAAAAGTGGTTTAAGGACTTCAATTGGCAGAAAACATGGCTCGGGCAGGATGCATGTAGCTTACCCCAACTAGCAAGGGCCAAGGCTGAGTTAGGTTGAAAGAAGATGAACATTGTAAAAGCATGTTTCTTTTGATAGAGCACATTGTAAGCATTTCCAAATACGGGTTATTTAGAAAAATTAAATTCTTTATCATATCAGACTATTAGTTGTGGTAGCTTTAGTTTTGGGCACATTTTTTTATGAGTTTCTGGGCACAGGTTCACCTTATCTTGATGAGTTGATGAGGCTTAAATATTGTTGGGGAAACATCTTGCTTCTACAATTAGCTTTTTAAAATATTTTGGGGATTTAATTCGTTTAAAGGGGTTACATTGATATTTTCAGCAATTACTTCTAGCTACCAGTTCTCTTGGTTCGAGCAACCTTTACTTTTTTGTTTGCATTGCTTGTGTTAGGAGGACACATTCGCAAATTAGTCAACTGATTCGTGAATACCGCAAAACATCTTATCGTGTGCCAATGGCAGTTTTGGTAGGTTTTCTTCCTTCTCTCAGGGCCTGTGAAATTATTAGGTTCTAGGATACTTTAAGTACATGTGTACCAATATTTGCAATATTAAACTTGCATGTTTCAACAGTTGTTGTATCTGCCATATATTCTCAATGGCATGCTTCTCTTATGCAAATGTTGTATATTCTATCATTGCCAATTCGGTTTGGTCATTGTTCTGTGCTATTTCTGTCTATGCTTGAGTACAGGGAAGTGGTTTTCTCAATTAGCTTGTTTTTTTTTTATGTGAACTAGCATGTTGAATTTTTACTACATTCTTTTCTTTCATTATAGCTTTAAGTTATGCATTTCAATATTTCCTCTCAGAAATATTTCTTTGCACAAGTTTACTGTTGATCCCTTTGTGTGTGCTACAGGCATCACGGAAACACTACTGTACCAACAAACGTTTACGTGGGAAAGAGAATGTTCAAGAAGAATGGTGTGCTTCAGAGCTTCAAAGGATCTTATTTTGTTTTTGGGATCCGTTTCTTTAAATCTTTTATTAACATTTTGTATTTATGATTCTAGTAAGCTGCTTTTGAAGGACCAAGTCATAGGATGTCCAGAATTCAAGTGAGTTGGTGCTTTTTCCGTGTTTATAATGCACTGGAAGGTTATTGTTTGTTCTTTGGTTTCTCCTGTTTTTCCCACAAGAGTATTGAATCTATTTCACAAATAGGAATGCACATAAAGTCAAATATCATCCATCCCTCCAGAAAGGTGGATGCTATGAAGTCCATGATATTGAAGATGTTGTGAAAGTTGGGCAACTGGTCAAAGGTTTAATTCTATTGATCTATTCTTATGCAAGTTGAAAATTTGATTGCACTTAAGAGACACTTATGAGATTTGTCTGTATGGTAGGCTGTTCGTACTTTGGAGCATGGGGTCTGTCAGAAGATGCTTGGTTAATTTTCTGTCCATATAATTATGTCATCAGTCCAATAATTCGGAGAGGAATGGAAGTGGATCTTAAAGGAGCAATTGTGATTCTTGATGAAGCCCAGTAAGCTTATAAAATTTATTATTGCTGTTGAATGAATTCCAAATTTGTCAGTTCTCCCCAGTGCTCTAGTATTGTTAATGACACTTGCACTTTGGACAAAATATCCCCTTTTATTAATTACATGTTGCTAGTTGCATCTTTCCTTGTGGAGCACTGTACTTAATCTTAGTGTATTCAGAAGTTGATTTGGATATTTTGAAATAATTATTTAAATTTTGATTGGTTTTTTTATCAAAGATATGTTTTTTTTATTGATAACATCAAACTTTTGTTAGAAATATATGCTGAATGTACAGAATAGACAAGTACAAGGTGTAAATGGTAAAAAGACAATGAGAGACAAAATCTCTTCTCTCTCCCCACACGCAAGTTTCTGATTTACAATTGTACCCAGAATAAAGTTTCTCTTTTTAACCCTTGTTTGGATAAAGCGTCTGCTACAGAATTTGCACAACACTTTATCCAATTGAAAGAGACTTTCATTTCTCTTGTCAGCCACCTAAGTTTCTTCTTTTCATTGTTGTACATCCACATCTCTACTTTGTATCCAACTAACTACCAGTTTTGGATCTCCCTTAATAATCAGTTTTCTAATGTTCAGTTCTTTTGCCCTTTCTATACCCTCCATCAAGGCTAAAACTTCTGCTCTAAGAGAACCTCCTTCCCCAACTGGACCAGAATAGAGAGCAATGATCTTGCCTTCCTCGTCTCTGAATACTCTGCTTTTTTTGGTAAAACAAAATATTCTGCTTTTTTTTTGATAAAACAAAATACTCTGCTTTTACCTGATCTTCCTGGGTTTCCCATACTACTATCATCAAAGTTTAGTTTGATACAGCCTCTTTCTGGTGGATACCACTGATAACTAGAAACAGTCTTAGGAGATGGAGATTCAGCCACTTCTTCCATTTTCTGAGCAAATTGTCCATTGACACATTTGAAAAGGAATCTATGGACTTCAGCCAGTGTACTGCTCTAATCAAAACTGTGTCCCTAACCTCTTTATTGGTTGATTGAGCACAATGTGAGATGGGATTCCTATAGGTGACCTCAAATAGTTGGAATTATAGAAGAGTTATGTTTGGACTTTTATTGAACAAAAATTTATTTGACATCTTCTATCAGGATGACACTATGGTTAATTTAAATACAACTCTAGTTGTGTCACAATCCCCTTTCCATCATACTTAAAATTTAATCTAGTACCCAATGGATATACTATTCTTTTGGTGTCAAATTCTAATTTCTTGAAAGAACAATGTGAACAAGATAAATCAATCCATAATAATCTATCTGTGAACAAGATAAATATTTACCAACGTTTTGTTATGACATGGAGAATGCTTGATGAACTTTTCAAAATGCCTACTTGTCATCTTGACAAGGATATATGGTCTTCCTTAGGGACCGGATATTCTTAGAAAATATGGGAATCCTTATAAAATATTTGGGATATGCCATAATATTTTTCATGTTACACAAGGATCTGGTTTTGCCTTGTCTTACTAGAGGAAAGAGGTTTAGAGATTAGTTAAAAATTTCTTTTTGGTTTCTCTTTTTTGGTTTGTGCAGAATTACTCCTCATATGCAATCATTGGTTGCTTGCATATATGGCTATATCATTTCAGTTAACTTTCTGTCATTGTCTCACCCATGGGGCAATCCACAAACTCCATGAATGTTCCTATTTCTAATCCTGTCATTCCTAGTCTTGCTGCTCACCCATCTTGGCTTTTTACTGACCTAATTATATTATTCTTTTATCAACAACTGAAAAAAAAATTATTAATTGATGTAACTGTTAACTTACATTGCAGTTCTGTGATTGTCAGTGTTAACAGGTGTAATATATGTACTGTACACAGGCTTAGTACCCGCAGGGGTATTTTCGTAATTCTGTATACATATTGTTATGTAYGGCCAGAACAGTATAAATAGAAAGCTTCACTCGACTGAAGCTAAGTTTGGTTGAGGCCTTAACTCAGTTGCCTCTTATTCTTCTTTCTCTTCTCCTTCTTTCTTTTTCTTTTCTCCTTTTCTTCTTCTTCTTGGTCTCCTGCTCAACAGTCCGCCTTGGCTCACCATAATTGTTTACAGTATCAAATACAATTCTCCCATGTTGCACAATTCCCCAAAACATCTGCTTCCCTCCCACCCCCTGTTTAGCCAGCTCATCTGCTAGACTGTTAGCAGGTCTAGGTACCTACCTTCTGACTGACACCGGATTCTTTACTAATTCTTTTACTTCTCTAATCTGATATCAGTGTTGCCAAGAACCCTTCTGATTATTTCCCAATCAGCATTTTATTACTTTAGAGACCCCTTCAATAATTGAATTTCTGATCTAATTATCTTATAATGCTTTCTTTTAGTCTCTTTGGTATATATTAATCACATATTTGTTATTTACATGTACAACAGAAACACCTCTTTACTTTAACCACACTGACATAGTTTTATTAATGACATTCCTTCAATTTCTACCTCACTATGGCACTATGGATGATTTAGTATATGAATGTATATTTAAGGTGGCCAGGCACTGCCTTAGTATATCAATGTAGTTAGGAATGCAACTTGGGTCCCGTTGGGTTATGAATTTGTTAAATTTTCAATCAGCCCGAACCCTGTGCCTGATGTAGTTGAAAATTTTCAAATTGGGAAGCCTGACTTGCAGCTCTGTTAATGATTTAAGTGACCACTATAGTAAAGTTGGTTGTTATAGAATTAAAAATTCCATTTCCTCAAAGTTGGACTAACTTGGAGGATGATAAAAATGGTTTTTTCTAGATAAGGAATAGTGATGGCTTCTGGGTTTTTAGAAAGAAACGTTGAACAGTTAGGGTTTTACTGCTGTGCATGAGCAGGCACTTTATAATGCATATATTGAAGGTGTTCTCTTTTCTTTAATTTTGGTTTTAGTTGATTTGGAGTGGGGATTTGGTAGTGGTGATGTTGGCTAGTTATTTTATTTTAGAATGATGCTTGGTGAGATTTGGCTTGTTTGGAGGGCTGGGTGATGTTATTGTGTTATATAATTCTATTGCCTTTCTTGGTGATTTATCCTCACCTACTATTGTATGCTCATTTTCTTTTTAATGATTTTTTCTTTACTATCAAAAGTAACTTTTTTGTTCTTCTGGGTAGATAGGTTGACTTTTTTTTTTACATGTATTTATACTGTAATGCAAATCATGTCTTGAGAGACTTTCCTGGCATAACTCTTGCCATTTGCCAAAATGTATGGGTTTATATCTGATTAAATCTTATTTCAAATTTGTTTTTACTATGATAGCAACATAGAGGACATGGCACGTGGTGCTGGTAGTGTGGAAGTTGAAGAAGATATGCTGTACAGTAGGTTCTGCATCCATCACTTTTCTATTCTTCTGTGAAATCTATATTATGCTTATTGTTTTCTTTCTTCATGAAAGCATTGCAGATGGAGTTGGGGCAATTGTCCTTGGCTGATGCAGTGACTTATCAACCATTACATGAGACAATTCAGGTATTCATTTTACTTGACATCTTGTCAGATAATCTTTGGATTGAGGTTATCTGCTTAGCACTGAAAACTAGAATTATGAAGGGAATCATCAGTTGGATGGGCAGCAGAAAATGTACCTTAGAGAAGCGTGAATTTCAGCGTTTTTGCTCATGGTGAGTTAGTTTTGACAATTTTGTTATTATCTGTTGTATTAAGGATGATCTGCTAATTTCATCATATGACTGCTTTAGCATCTGATAGGTGCATATGAAGTCTTTATGATGCTTGAAAATTGTTTAAACTTGGATTTCTAATTAACCTAGTGATAAAAAGTCATCATGCCAATTCATATTTCTTTTTCAACAAAAGTAGTATTGATTTATTACAAGATGCTTGAAATTACCCAAAGTGCACAAAATTAGATAGAAAATGTGTCCAGACAACTCTATTACTTGTTCTTAAGTTGATCAAATTTATTTTGGTGTTAATGTGTATAGGTGAAACTTTGTCAAGGTGGTTGTTGCCTAGGCAACTGGTATTTAAATATATTGTTGAAACCTCCAAAGAGAAAAAGATTTTGGTGTTCATGTCTTTTCACATTTGTTTTGGTGTGTATATTTTTGTTGCAGTTGGACTGGTGATAAGGCTTTAGTCGAGCTTCAAGAAGCTGGTATTTCTCAGCAGTGTTTTCCAATCTTGAAACAGTGTGCTAACAAAGTATGTAAACATTTTCTTCTGGCTTCACTTCTGGCCAGTTTTATATACAATTGATTGATTTTGTTGGTCAAGGCAATCAGAGCTGCATCAGATGCAGAGTCAGAGGGACCTCATTTAAGTGGCATGTCAGTGGCAATACTAGAAGGTAGATATTCATCTTACTGTTTGTTGATTATCAATTAAGTTCTCCTTTAGTAATTATCCATAACATATTACACAGGGCTCTTCTGTTCCCTTAGTTATTTTTTCTCTGAAAATGGGCTTCATGTGCCTGATTATCAGCTTGCATTACAGCAATATGTCAAAAGAGACGCTGGTGAGAAGCTTTTCCTTTAATAATTTAGAGATTGAAGTGTTCTGGTTCCCTGCATTTTATAAACCTGTATCATAACAAGCTGGTTTACCCCAGAGATTGAAGTGTTCTAGTTAAGTACTTATGTTAACCCTGAGCATTTACTAATACTTTGTGCAGGGCATGCTTCTAGTGGCTGGACATATTCCTTGAGTCTTTGGTGTTTGAATCCTGCTGTTGTATTCAAGGAAATTGCTGATCTATCTATGTCAGTGATTCTTACATCAGGGTAATTGCCGTGGCATATAAAGCCCACTAATTTGAGTTTATCTCTACACACCTATTACTGTAACTTCCTAATAGTGGTATTCAGTTATATATGTGACTTATATTGATTACCTCACTACTTTTCCATGTTTGTTGACTTTATGTTGATTCATCATGGATTTATGCACGCCATAATTAAAATAACTATTTTCTTTTTGTATGATAATCTTTATTATTTGTTCTTCTACCAAAAATACAAATACACTTGCAAATATCTCCCTGTACTTAATTTACTGTTGGAAAAACTCTTTATGATTAGGTGCCCGATCTGATTTTATTAGTTGAATTATTTTCTGCTTCCCTTGAAGAGAATTTTGCCCAATTCTGTAAACGAATAGCCGCAGTCCTTTTTGTATAAGAGAGTAGAATACTAGAATTGTACAAAATTTGATGAGTCTCATTTATGAAAAAAATCTGATGAACCTTGTCATCTGAGAAAATCTATGTAAACTTACCAATCTATACCCTTCTGCCTGTTGGAAAAGCTCTTTATGAATAGATAATCCATCTAATATTATGATTTACTTATTTTTGGCTTCCCTTTAAGGAGGGCTTGCTCAATTCTGTAAATGAAGAGGTACATCTTATTTGTATGAGAGCAAAAAAATTTAAGGGCCTGTTCATTTGCAAAGTCTGATATCTGAATACCTCTGATGTCTGAAACTGTAATAATTACTTCTAGAGGTGTATTGTAGTTAGTGAACTATTCTTCGTTTTGAAGTCTGAATATAGAAAATATTGTTCTGAAATCTGAATGTTGAGTTCTGAAAATTGATAATTGACCAGTTTAACCTTGGATATGCGGAAATTTGTTTAATTATTTAACAAACTAATTAACAATTAATTTTTTAACAAACTAATTAACAATTAATTTTTTAATAAACTAATTAACAATTAATAAAATGAATCTAAAATAATTTATAAACAATGAAATTGATAAAAAATTATAAATAATTAAATATTTTAAAGAATTGAGCAATTATTAAGTAATGAATAAATATTTAAAACAAATACTTACATGATTAATTAATTATGTAACTAATTATTCATTTTTATTATTAATAAAATAATAATAATTCTTTAAGGCTGAAGTGCAAAAATGGAACTGAATGCTCTGATTCCCTCTGAAAACACATGAATGCTTTTCAGCATTCAGCGTTAAGAGGCAATGAATGGGCCCTAAATTTGATGGTGGGCATTTCCTTCACTACTGTTTCAATTTCCTCAGTGTGTCTACATTGCTGAGAGCCTTGACTCTTATTCTTGAACCAATTTACCACTATCAGTGAGTTCCCTTCCACCACTTTGTTTTTTAGTATAAATTTTGTAACTGATAACATTTCAGCTGTGTCCTTGCCATATCCTGTAACATAATTGGGGAGTGGGGAAACCCTAGACCAGACTCTGGGGAAAATGTGGATTGGATGGAGGGGGTGTTCAAATACATAGGACCCACAAGCAACTTGCCTGTCCTTTTTTCATAAGGCCAGCCTTTTTCTTGTCACCAAAGTTTGGTGCTTTTGTGCCATCAACACATTCAAATTTTCTCTTTTTCTTCCTAAATCTAGAGTTTCCTTCTTTATTTCATTTATGTTGGAGAATCAAGGTACTAAACAGTGTAACATACATGTCAACCCAGTTTTCTTTTCCTTACCCCTGGTTTCCTTGCATCCAACTAGATCTCCTAGCATTTGCTTCAATCATAATGTGTGTACCACTGTTCTGCTTTTGCCTTTTCAAGTTACTTATAAATTTTCGTTCTCTTTGTTATTCCAGGACATTGTCCCCAATGGGATCTTTCTCATCTGAACTTGGTGTTCAGTTTGAAACTTGTATGGAGGCTCCACATGTAATTGATGTGGAATCACAGGTGAATTGCTTTTTTCTGCAATTTCTTTGGTCCTTTGTGGATGGATCTGCTTTTTATATCTGTACTGGTACAGTCACTGGTCTTCTTTTATTGTAGCTTTGGGCTGCTGCTATTTCTACTGGTCCAGGGAATTACCCATTGAATGCTAGTTACAAAACAGCTGATGGATATGCTTTCCAGGTATGATTTAAAGCTTTACTATTGAACCTTTTGTTGTTGACATGGGCTTATCTTGGTTGTCGTAATGAATGGAAATTGGTTTTGAAGGATGCACTTGGTGCTTCTGTAGAGGAAATTTGCAAGATTGTGCCAGCTGGTGCTCTTGTTTTCTTCCCCAGCTATAAATTGATGGAAAAGCTATGCAATCGTTGGCGTGAAACAGGTCAATGGTCTCGATTAAATGCACAAAAGACTCTATTTGTTGGTAAGAATTCTCCATCACATTGCATTAGGTGATGCATTGGGCTCTTTATGGTTGCTAAAAAAAGTGCCATCTTTTCTTTGTATACACTTCATTAGCCTTCTTGCTACAGATGATAAAAATTTGATGGAAATTTTGATAGACTTTATTTAGAATATTTTATGTGTAAGGCCTTGGGGGATGGATAATATCTAAAATGTAAGTTTTTGCAGAGCCTAGAGGAAACCAAGACGAGTTTGAGCCTGTTTTGAAGGGTTATTATGATGCAATTCATGGTGGTACTAGACTTTCTTCTGGTAAAAGCAGAAGAGGAAAAAAGCAGGGCACCAATCACTCTGATTTGGCATCCCCACAAAATTGTTCAAAAAGGGGTGCTGCTTTTCTTGCTGTTTGCCGGGGAAAGGTATGCACTCCATGCTGAACCCTGAGAAATTTATCTTTTGCACTCTTATTTGTTACTTTGCTCTTCTTAATGACTATGGTTGTTTAATTGCCTAGGTTCAGGCATGTCTTGATTTGTACGAGGCCAAGTCCTAGAAGATCTAGGACTGAACCAAATGGCCAAACCACAAACCAGTTTTGCCATCTTCTTCCAATTGATTGTAATGGATGTTTCCCTGAAATAAGGTTCTGCATAGTGGTATGTAGTAATAGAAGTGTTAGTTCAGTTTCACCTGTGAATATTGGCCATGATTGTAGCATAACAAAAAAAGAGGCTATTAGACTCCAACCTGCCTTTGAATTCTGTTAGAATGGTAACAGTAGAAATAAGAGAAAGAGGAGAAGAGAAAGAAGAAGAAGAAAAGAGAATAGAGAGGGAGAAAAGTCTGGTTCGAACAAGAGAGAAAATCAGTCTCTCTCCATTTGGCAAGATCTGTTTTATATTTCTATTAATCAAGAAATGACACCTTTGCCCCTACATAAGTGAGGGACACAAGAACTAACATAACTTTACATGTCAGCAACTTAAACATAAGCATAAAGACAAAATTACCCCTACACAGTCGACATTAACACTCCCCTTCAAACTGGTGAGTATATATCATATAGTCCTAGGTTGTTACATATGTAGTCCACTCTTCCTCGACTCAACCCTTTGGTAAACAAGTCTGCCCATTGGTTTCCTGTGTTAATATATGTAGTATCTATTACTCCACTCAGCACCTTCTCTCTCACAAAGTTACAGTCAACCTCTATGTGCTTGGTTCTCTCATGAAACACCGGATTAGAAGAGATATAGACTGCAGCCTGATTGTCACAGTAGAGCTTCATTGGAGTGTCAACAGTGTATCCCATCTCCTGTAAAAGGTTCCTCAGCCACACTAATTCACAAGTAGTATGTGCCATAGCTTTATATTCTGCCTCTGCACTGCTTCTTTCCACAACTGTCTGCTTCTTATTTTTCCATGTCACCAGATTAGCCCCAAGAAAAGTACAATAGCCTGTAGTGGATCTCCTATCAGATATAGAACCAGCCCAATCAGCATCTGTATATCCTTCTATTTCAAGTTTTCCTCCACTTCTATATATCAAACCACGACCAAGAGCCTCCTTTAAATACCTCACAATCCTTAGAACTGCATCCTAATGTGGAACCCGAGGTTTTTGCATGAATTGACTTACCACACTAACTGCAAATGAAATGCTTGGCCAAGTAATGGTTAGGTAGTTCAGTTTACCTACTAGTTGCCGGTACCTGCCAGGATATTCAAACTCTTCACCCATATCACTACTCAGCTTAGTGTTTGCTTCCATAGGTGTTTCAGCCGGTTTAGCACCTAATAATCTTGTTTCTTCCAACAAATGAAGAACATATTTCCTCCGGCACAAGTTAATACCATGCTTAGAGCTTGCTACTTCTATCCCCAAGAAATACTTTAGTTTACCAAGGTCCTTTGTCTAAAAATGTTATTGCAGAAAGGTTTTCAACCTATCAATTCCCACTTTATCATTCCCGGTAATAACAATATTATCTACATACACCACCAATAGGATCTTTCCAGCCTGAGAGTCATGATTGAAGATTGAATGGTCAACTTGGCACTGTTTCATACCAAACTTTTTTACCATCTCACTGAACCTACTAAACCATGCTCGAGGAGATTGTTTAAGTTCATAAATGGCCTTCTTTAGTCGGCACACCTTACCATCCTCCCCCTGAGCAACAAACCCCGGTGGTTGCTCCATATAGACCTCCTCAAGTAAATCACCATGTAAGAAAGCATTCTTGATATCAAGCTGATAGAGAGGCCAATCATACATAGCAACAAGAGATATTACAACACGAACTGAACCAATCTTAGCAACCGGGGAGAAGTAGCAAGCTCTAAGCATTACTTGGCCATAGGTTTGGGAGTACCCTTTGGCAACTAGTCTAGCTTTCAGCCGCTCTACACTACCATCAGGTAAGTACTTAACAGTGTAAACCCACTTACAACCGACAACCTGCTTACTAGGAGGAAGTGTGGTGAGGTCCCATGTATGATTATGAGTTAGAGCGGAGAGTTCTTTTTCCATTGCATGATACCACCGTAGAGAGGCAAAAGCTTCTTGGACATCCTTAGGGACAACAACAGAGGATAACAAGGAGATAAACTGGCGATGAAAAGTAGAAAGGTGAATGAGAGAAACATAATTAGAAATAGGATGAAGGGTACAACTGCGTTTACCTTTCCGCAAGGCAATGGGAACATCAAGTTCAAACACTAGGGTTGGGGTTGGTGTGGGTACAACTGTTGGATCTGTCAACGATGATGGAGCTAGAGGAGGAGCTGATACATGTTGGCGATGTGTATACACGTGACGAATAAGTGGCCGTTCAATAGGTGGTGGCACCAGAGGCAAAGACTTGGTCACAGTTGGAACAAGTGGAATGGAATCTGCAACTGGAAGGGGAAGAGGAGGTGGTGAGGAGGAAGAAACATCACCTGACCCCGAGAAAAACGGAATGGATTCAAAGAAAGTAACATAAGCACACACAAAGGAACGTCGAGAACTAGGATGATAACACTTATACCCTTTCTGAGTCCGGAAATAGCCAAGGAAGATGCACTTAATGAATTATGCATCTAACTTGTCCCTTCTCGGTCCCAGATTATGAACAAAACAAACACACCCAAAAACCCAAGGAGAAAGAGGAAACAGTGACAATGTAGGAAACAAAGTGGTGAATGGAGAATGACCATCAAGGATAGACGTGGCATCCGGTTAATCAGGAAGCAAAAAGTACACCATCACTCCAAAAAGGTTTGGGTACATTCATGTGGTGCATGAGGGATCAAGCAGTTTCCAAAAGATGACGATTCTTTCTCTCAGCCACCCCATTTTGTTGTGGGGTGTAGGTACATGAAGTCTGATGGATAATGCCATGTTGGTCCAAATATTCTTGAAATGATGTAGAAAAATATTCACAGCCATTATCGGAATGAAAAATTTTAAAGTGGACACCAAATTGGTTGCGAATTTCAGCATAAAATTTTTGGAAAATGACAAACAATTCACTCATTTCTTTCATTAAATAAAGCCACGTCATCCTTGAATAATCATCAACAAAAATAACAAAGTATTTATGCCCATTGTATGACATTACTTTATAAGGACCCCAAACATCTGAATGAAATAAAGAAAAAGGACTCGACATACGTTTATTGTGAACAAAATTCAGATCTAGAAGAAACCAGATCCAGGGGTGTCAAGAATCGTCGACCCCCACCCCAAAGAGTCTCTTTTATGTTAAAGAGATAAAAGGTATGTACAGTTACAAGAATGCCCTTACAGGGCTGAAAGATAAAAAGAACAAATAAAATAATAAGAACTATGATACTGTACAACAAGGACTACTCTAATAGTGTACATCAAGATATATCTTCACACTCCCCCTCAAACTGATTCGTAGACATCAGCATCAGTTTGCCCACAAAATGAGATGTCGGCTCTTAGTCATGGCCTTGGTGAAGATGTCGACAATCTGCATGTTAGAGGCAACATGAGGAAGAGATATAGAGCTTGCAACAAGGTCTCTAATAAAGTGATAATCCACCTCGATATGTTTAGTCATCTCATGAAAGATTGGATTAGATGTGATCTTGATAGCGCTGGTGTTGTCGGCATATAGAGGGATAGGAGTAGGAAGAGAAATCCCAAGATCAATGAAAAGTGGCTTCAGCCAAACAATCTCGCTACATGCATAAGATATAGCTCTATACTCGGCTTCTGTGGAAGACTTAGAGACAGTTTGCTGTTTCTTGCACTTCCAGGAGATGAGAGAGTCACCCACGAAGACGCACCACCCAGTAGTGGATCGGCGAGTGTTAGAGCAACCAGCCCAATCAGCAACAGCATAAACCCTCAACTATATGGATGATGAGGAAGAGAAAAACAGTTCCTGAGAGGTTGTGTTTCGAACATAACGGATGATGCGGCGAACTGCAGTCATATGAGGTTGTCTTGGGGTAGAGACGAATTGATTGATGACCTAAACATGTGAAATATCAGGCCTAGTCATAGAAAGATAGATCAAAGAGCCAACAAGCTGACAGTACAGGGTGGCATCAGGAAGGATGAGGCCTTCGGATTTGGATAGTTTGACATTCAGTTCCAGGGGGGTATCAACATGTTTCTCATCAGTGATTCCAGCTAGTTTGACGAGATCAAAGGTGTATTTTTGTTGACAAATAAAACACCCTCGACTGCTACGATGAACCTCCAAACCCAAGAAGTGAGAGGACCCAAGTCCTTCATATGAAATGAGTTATAAAGTAAGGACTTCAGCTCACAAATGCCGTCATGGTCCTCCCTTGTTAGGAGCATGTCATCAACATATAATAGAAGAATAGTAATACCCAGGGGTCTTCTCTTAACAAAGAGGGAGTAGTCAGAGGAACTCTGATTATACCCAGCTGCAACAACATCCCGAAAGCGCTCAAACTAAGCCTTGGGTGCTTGCTTTAGGCCATATAAAGACTTTTTCAGAAGGAACACATTCTTCACATCTAATTGATAAATAGTCCAGGAATAAACAACAGAAATGGCCATAAGAGTCCGAACTGTGGTGATCTTAGCGACCGGGGCAAATGTTTCTTCATAATCAATCCCATATTCCTGACTGTATCCTTGGGCAACTAATCGGGCCTTATATCGATCAAGAGAGCCATATGATTTCAGTTTGATCGTATAGACCCAACAACTTCCAACAATAGAAGCATATGGAGGAATTGACACAAGATCCCAAGTGTCATTCTCATGGAGGGCTTGAATTTCGGCATCCATAGCTTCTTTCCACTGAGAACTTCTAATGGCTTGCTGATAAGATCTAGGGATATATGTGGAAGAAAGTACAGCAAAAAAGGAACTATGGTTTGAAGAAAAACCATAGCGGTCAGGAGGTCTAGAGATACGGGTAGA